GTTGTGATGTGATTGTTTAATCACACAGAATACACATTTAATCACACAGAAAACCCAAAGGGTTTTCTATAGTTACCCGTTCTCACCAATCTTGGTCCAACAGGAATCACGCACCAGTTGGGAATGTTGCTAAGTGGTAAAGTACCTAGTAGGCTTAAGACTTTGATAAGGAAAAAACCAGTCATAAACTGGCCAAGCATAGTGATGCTGCACATTTGCTTGTAATATCAATAATAAAGAGGCCGAGGCAAAGGGATGGCAAACCGGAAGACAGCCTGGACTGCATAGCAAAAACTGTGACTCAAAATGTCCCAACCATAGAGCTCACAGAAAGCAAGGAAATAAAGCAAACAAGTCGGAGCCGCTACTGCATTTGATTGGCCCTTATCTTTGCCCTTTAACCCTGAAAGGGGTGAGCTGACGTTTTCTGTAAAGGGCCAGATACAAATACATATATTTGCAGGTATAATAACATACTAGTAGCATAAATATTATAGGTTCTGCTAGTGATGCTGTGTACGTTTCAGCTGCTCACGTGTGTTGCAGCCCCTGCTCCAAGGCCATAGACAGTACAGGCAGGAGGAATGCCGCTGCGCCTCAGCAAATTCATAAACTTTTCAAATGCCTTAAAATATTATTTTTCTTTTGGGTTTTATCAGTTAGATTGAGAGAGAATTTTCTGCAATCCAGGAATTCACTACGTAGCCAAGGATGACCTTGAACTTCTGATCTCTCCTGCTTCTACCTCCTTAGTACTGGGATTACAGGCATGAGGCAGGGGATCAAACCAAGAGACTCATGTGTGCCAAGCAAGAATTGTACTAACTGAACTGCATCCCCATCTCTCTTTGGAGGTTTCAAAATTTTTTCAATGATTTGAAAGTATACAAATAATTTGCAGTTCATAAGTTTTTTTGTTTTGTTTTATTTAAAAAAAAAGAGTAGGTGGCAGGACTTGACCCTTTAATTAGATGGCCCCTACACAGAAAATTATCCTGTCTTTTTAAATAAGGCACCTTTGGTTGAGGTGTATGAAATTGTGTATAATTTGAAGTGGACACTCTCATACCATAAGAAGCCATTGTAGCTTAATATTATGAAAATGCAACCATTTATCCATGGCAGTAGGCTGAGCTGAAGGTGGCTAGCACCGAGTCTGTGTGTGTGATTATAGTATGCTTCTAAAAATGGGTTTTGTCTGGTGTATGTGTGTGTGTGTGTGTGGTGCTGGGGATGAAACTAAGGTCTGACACTTGCCAGGTAAGTACTCTACCACCATGATATGGCCCCAGCCCTTTGAAGACGTTTTAATTGCTCTTATCAGAGTCCTTAGGAAAGAGGTAGGCGCAGTATTTGAAGGTCTGTCATGACAAGTGGCCCTGCCTGTCAGGCCAGCCTAATGAGTGTATGGGACAAAGGATGCAATGGCTCTGGTAAGTTCCATCAACTTTGTCACCTCTCCTTATCAAATTTGACCTCAGCTTGATTCAGGGCCCCAGCCTCACTTTTGAAACAACAGACTCAGGGAAAGGTAGGAGTCAGCAGGGCCCAGAATCTGTCCGGGCTAGGTGAAGATGGTCTTTATTAGCACATCTCCTGGGAGTATTGCAATGTCCTCAGGTATCCACTCACTGGAGGGAAGCCAGTGGTCAGTGGGACCAATCAAGGCAGGGCTGGTGTCTTGACCGCTGCCTTTCACTTACCCTGGGAGCACCGACATCTGACTTTGTTGAAACAGAAATCGGAACAGCTTCCTTAGGCTCGAGAACGGTGATCTGTGACTTACGGGGCTTCCTCCTGAAACACAAATGGGCTGTCCCATTGGTTCTTGCCGGAAGGCTCCAGCTTCCCTACGTATTCCAGGCACCTTTAGTTGGATTACCATATTCCTAGATACGGTCTCAAGCGTGAGGGAGGAGTCCAATTCATGCTTTCAGGACCCATAGCTCAGCATTCTGTGCTTCTCTGAAGACAGCAGGCCAGCCAGTCGGTCATCTCGGAGGCTTGTTTAGGACAGAGGTCTTAATTCCGGAGATATACCATCGAAGGAGTGATGGCCCTCTGCTGAGACTCAGCCCCAGGTGCAGCCACTCGCTGTTGTACGGGGATTTGTTGATAGAAACCCACGCCCAGGCAATTTGCAACGTCCAACCCCAACAGTGAATCTCCTACGGAGGGTTTTAAATAAAGATTCCTCTGTCAGTTGAAAGCTGTGGAAACCTGTAACAGCAGCGAGGAACGGAACATATTTGGTGATAACTTTATTTCTGGGGCTCTTAAGCCTTATTTTCCTACTTCTCAAATCAAACACTATGCTAATACCCATTTTTATTAGTTAAATAAATTAACCTGTAACGACAATAATCATTAATATATGAACAAAACCCATTTGTACGTGTATTCATCGTATTGAGTTTTTGTTGCTGTTTATTTATGATAATATCTCTCCCCTTCGTTAGCTGTGTTACTCCACTAAAGGCACTGAACAATTAATTGGCTTTTTCTAGTTCATCGAAGAAGCTTTAAAAAAAAATGGAAAAGAGAGTACTGAAATCCTAGTAATTTATTCTTTTGAAGATTTTTTTATTTTTAAATTTGTTTGTAGTTTGGGGAAAGCAAGAATTTTATTCTCATTTACAAGAAGACAGGCTGTTGGTAGCTCGGCCCCTCCCCTTCCTGGCCTTCCTGTCGAGCTCCTGTTTCCGTGTCCAAAGCATCATAAATAACGAATGAAGTAAAAGGCTGTCTAAACACTGGGGCTCGATTTCCATAAACGCTCCCGTTAAAAATGCATGACTGGTATGCAGTTTTAATTTTAGCCACGGTGTAGTTTCTGTTTGTGGTCAGTTTTCTTGGCAAGCCCTGTCTCCGCAGTTAACTTTTGAAGCCCACTGAAGCTGAAAAGCAGGCGTCTGGGGGGGAATAGGTGCAGGTGGCAGCAGCTGCTACCGTCCAGATTTGGGTCTCTCTCTCTCAACAGCGTTCGCTTCTGTGCTCGCAGAAATGAACTCTGGGAAAAGGATCTCAAACCGGAGACGTCGGAGAGGAGTGAGCGGAAGGTGTGCACTGACTGCTCCCCTTTGCCCTGTAAACACAGTGAAATGATACCAGGCAGCCAGCCGCCCCTCCTACTCCTGCAATGTGGGTTCCACCGTCGATGAGAGTGTGCCAGAGATGCGCGCCTCCGCGACTTTCCTGGACCCGAGCATATGCGGTGCTCCAGAAGCGACTTGGGCTGAATGGTAACTGAACAAGAGCCTCTGCTTCGTGGAGAAAAAAAAAAAAGACCCGAGACAGGCTACTGATTGTCATTAGTGCTGGTGATGTCTCCGAAAGCTGAGGATGGTAGAGAATCATTTCCCTCCTTTCTCATAATGCCACATAGGTCGGTCTGTGACGGGGCTAGAACTGTGGGGGAAGGAAGGCAATGAGAGACCCACTCCTCTTTTGTTCTTTTTCTTTTCTTTTTCCTTTCAAATTGTTGGTTACACAATTTTTGTTACCTGTGAATAGGATTTCTGGGGCCTCCGTAGGAAATAGCCTGTTGACAAACACACCTCTGGAGAACTTCAATGCAAGCCTTGGCCGGTGCCATGACAGGGCCTCAGAGTCCAGAGCTATGAGGCTGTTCAACAAACAACAACAACAAAAAGCAATGGGAAAATGTCCCAGGGAGAAGGGCTAATTCTTTGTCATCATCACCACGAATATTTGGTGTTGAGACAGTTCAAGTCAAACAAACAAAAGAGCAAAGTGAACTTCGCACAATAAACTAAAGATGAAGAGAGATCTATGGGTCGGATGGGATTGGTCTACTTGGTGTCCAAGAGGCAAAACGACTCAGACACATCCAATTAAATTAGAACCAGAGTTCCAAGTGCAGGTATCCTGTTGATTTTTATGAACAGTTTTTCTGATCTGTACCCAAATCTTCTTAAGGCCCCAGGCCCTTTACTTCGGCTTCCTGCTCAGAACTTTCAGCAGGAAAATTTGCAAGGACAGCTTGATACAAGACCGTTGGCTGGTGTTTTTTTTTTTTTTTTTTAAAGAAAAACAATGTTTTGATCAATGTTCATATTTTGAGGGTTACTATGGGTGAAATGTTCAACGGAGCAAAGCTACACTCCTTATTGGAAAAGGCCTCAGTGAATGCAGACTAGGAAGTGTCAATAACCTCACGCAGTAGTTTTCCAGAAAAACAAACAAACAAACAAAAAGACCTCAGCTTGGCAGTCCAGGCACCCTGAGAGATGTTTGGAAAAAGCAATACTGCCACCTTCTGGTAGAGTTGTGTCATCGTCCTCTTTGCCAATTGGAGCTCTCTTCCACCTGAATTTGTGTTTCTGTGGGAACAGATCTAATTTGATTTGAAACTTTGAAAACTTGAAGTGAAGTCTAGACAATGTCTCAGACAATTTTGTTAAAGTCAATCAAGAGGTTGAAGTCAGAGGGCCCTTAACTGGCTCTGTTTTTAGAGAGGGATGTCATTTGGATATCAGTGATCTTAGCTGAGGCCTTCTTGGTGCTGTTTTTCAAATCTAGTACTTTCCTGATCCACAAGACTCTGTTTATCGTTTCCTGTGCAGGTCTGGGACTCACTGTGTACCTGAGGATGACCTTGAACTTGATTCTTTTGCCCGCTCCTCTCAGTCTGGGATTGCAGGTGCGGGAAGTTGGGACTGAGCCTGAGATTTCTGTAAGCCAGGCAAGCTCTCTGCCAACTGAGAGACACCTCCAGTCCACTTTCTTAGAACATTTGAATAGATTTTTAATATGGCCCATGTCCTAGGAGACGGTGAGGATTCTGCCACTAAGATTGCTGAGATGCCAGGGCTGTCCCTTACTTTTCTGAACTTTAACTGCCGGACACTGCTTCAAGTGAGTTGGGGGGGGGGGGGCGCTGATAGGGTTTTCCTTTTCTGACCAGAGGAGAGGAGAGAAAGCCATGGAGAGGAAGGTGGCTCTGAACCTGCTCTTGTGAAAGATCAGAAATCTCTGTGTTTTTTTTTTTTTTTAAAGACCCAAGAACCTCGACACTGAACAAGAAATCCAGCCAAAATGAGACCTCACTGGCTATGTCGAACGGCTCTGCTACTTCTGTCCACAGCAGCAAAGGGCCGTCCTCGACCATTGGCTGGCAGAGCCTCCTGAAATAAACCGTGCAGCCAGCTTGAACTGTCAAAGCCCTGCTTTAGCTGGTGCCCAAGCACGGTCCAGGCAGGAGACGGGGAGGGAGAAGAAGCAGAGGCTGTTGGCCTGGGCGAGAAGAAAACTGCTGGACGGGGGCTCTCCCCACTCCAAGACTGCCCTAGCCTTCAAGCAGGGGCCAGTGCCGTCACTACCTTGGTGGAAAACAAGACATCTTGGCAGTGGTGACGACATGTGACAGAGATGCATCTCACTGCTGGAATTCTTGACTGCCCTGCATTCACAAGATGGGGTCCTCTACAGAGCCATTGAGAGGAAGGACAGACCGGAGCGCCTGGTCCTCAGGAAGAAATGCATCTCCATCACTTTCACAGGTTAGCTCCGAAGACAAAGGTGTTCTGGCTGAACTGGAAGAAGCTGCAAGGAGCCACGACCACAGATAAGATGGGAACCGAGGACCCCTGTGAGACAGCGTCTTGGGTTCAAAGTCTCTGGCTGTCATTGCCAAGCTGGAAAGGGCAGAGGCCAGCCAAGTAGCCACCAAGCTGGGTTAACTGCGTACCAATCAGTTTCCTCTACATAAGTAAAATCTGCTCTTCCGCAGGACTAAAAAGGACAAGGAATATTCTCTCCTTAGCGTTGGGTATGATGGGGAAATGGGGGAGAGTGTGGTTAAAAACCATCACAGATACGTTATCCAGCGATGGAGGATACAGCGAAGCCAGTTGGTCACAAAGCTGCCTGAGCAACAAACAGGTGGATGGGAATTTTATTCTTATGTAATTCCTTTCAGCTGGGGTTGATTCCAAGTGACTCGTTTTCTGGAAAGGCACGCGGGACCATCATTTTTCACCCAGGGGGTTCTTCCATAGAGATCCAGGCACACGGTCAGGGCTTTAGAGGAAAGAGGTTCAGCAGGCAGAGGCGCTTGCCACCGAGCCGGACGACGTGAGTTCAATCCTGAGGACATAGAGGGTGGAAAGAAAGAACAGACTTGTGCAAGCTGCCGTCTGATCATGGTGTGCGCACATTCGTGTAAACACACACACGAGTGCTAAATATAGCTAAAAAGAAATAAAGATGGAATGAATGAAACATTTGTTTTTATATTTCATTTAAAATATTTAAAATTTAAAACACCTTGCTGGCCTATAAGTACATTTCCATTTGTCACCCGTAACACACTTGATCCAAACTCCACGACAGTCTCTCCTCAGGAAATGGAAGTGTTCACGGGACAGCAATATTTCTTTTCTTCTATTTGATCCATGGAAGGAGATCTGGAAGAGACTGGAATAAACACACAAGATGGATATGTTTTCAAAGTCGTGCTGTGGCCTCTGAGGATTATCTATAAGAATATCTCAGTCATTGACTGGGCTATTTTTAATTCTGTAACTATTAACATTAGCATGTAGAAAACTGTTAGCAGTAGGAACATGCCTATGGACCTTTACAGAAACTAAGGGCCAAGGAAGGGTAAACCGGCTTCTTTTCCACTTTGACTACAAGAAAAGCTCCACTTTTGCTCCCATCTGCCCACTCATTGCAGAATTCTTTGTCTGGAGAGGCTACCGCGGCCTATATATGACGTCTGCTGTTCTCCATCTGCTGGGATGGAAGCTTATTTTCAAAACCACCAAGCAATTAACATTTATTTAATGGGATTCCACATTGAGTGGTTCGGATAGGCTTTGACTCTGTTTTCAAAATTACATTGTAGAGCTAATTCATTGTGTGTGTCTGTGCATGCGTACATGTGTGTCTCTGTGTGTGCCTGTGTGTTTGTGTACATGTGTGTCTGTGTGTGTCTGTGTAGAGCTAATTCATTGTGTGTGTCTGTACATGTGTACATGTGTGTCTCTGTGTGTGTGCCTGTGTGTTTGTGTACATGTGTGTCTGTGTGTGTCTGTGCATGTGTACATGTGTGTCTCTCTGTGTGTCTTGTATGTGTACATGTGTGTCTCTGTGTGTCTCTGTGCATGTGTACATGTGTGTCTCTGTGTGTGTGCCTGTGTGTTTGTGAGTGCACATGTGCCAAGAGCTGCATGTGGAGGTGAAAGGCGATCAGGGGACAATTTGCTCTCCTGCCTTGTGGGACACAAGACTGAACTCATATCATCAAGGTTGGTGTCAAGCTCCTTTGACTGCTGAGTCGTCTCGTCGGCCCCAGATGGAATCTTATTTGAGGGTGTTATTTTCCCTGTTCTCTCACTTAAGGGTTTAATGTAAGCTTAACAGGTACAGGTGAATCACGATTATACTGTTTTCCTCTCAAAGACCCTTTAGCAATAGTAAAAAGAAGTCAAGAGAATCAACATGGAGCCTTGTTCTGTTTGGGGCTTTGAGAAGTCACACTGGAAGTAAGCCAATGTCTAGAACCTTGGTCCTCTCTGAAATAGAGAAGCAGATGAGACTGAGGGCTGGGCGTCTCTCAGGGTGGTCTCCCCTTGGCTGGCTCCATGCTTACCTACTGGTCCTGCCTCTTCACAAGCGCTAGGACTGTTCTCTTGGAAGGATCCTCAGGGTCTACATATTACTCTGGATTGTCTCTGAGTCTGAACTATTGTGTGGACATCGGTACTCATTTGACTTCAGATTGGGTCTGTTCTGCTCACGTTCCAGCTTTCCCCCGACTAGGACTCTTATGGGCTCTTGTGATGTGGAGGTTTCTGTCTCCTTGACGACAAAGCAGAGCTGCTGTGAAGATGGACCACATAGACTAATGCATATCGTGCCTGCAATGTCACAGTTGCTGAGAAGTCTTAACTAAGCTTTGACTGTTGTGTACGTGTGCCTCACTTTGTTTTGTTATTGATGCTTAGCTTCAGATATCCAGCAGAGGGCATGAAAGGAGCTGGTTTTGTTTGGCTTACTACAGACTGTAGAAGGGCTTGAGCAGTAAGACTGCAAAAGGGAATGCACAAATTCTGCCAGTTCTGAGACCGGGGAAAAAGGTTAATTATTTTCAAACATTCACTTGCAATATATTCCAATTTTTTTTGCTGCTTCTTTTATTTCTAGCCTTTGCTTAAAACACTCAGTTCATTCCTCTTATTTATTTATAAAAGAAAACAAACTGTCTTTTTTCATTTTGCATACCAATCCCAGTCCCCACTCCCTCCCTTCCTCCCGTTACCTCTATCCATTCCCCAACCTGCATCTACTCCTCAGAGAGGGTAATGCACATTGCTCCAAGGAAGGACCGAGGCCCTCCCCTCTATACCCAGGCTGAGTGAGTTCTCTTTACATGCGTTCATGAGACACACAGGCAGCTTTAAGTAAATCAGTGACCTGTTCGCAGATTGATTGGGCTCCGTGTTGGTGGCTGTTCTGCTGCTGTGACAAAACCCCATGACCAAGACGACTCCTAGAAGAAAGCGCTTCTCACGAGCCCAGAGGGATAGGAGTCTGCCATGGCGGGAAAGCAAGGCAGCAAACGGAAGACTTGGAACAGGAGCCGAGGACTCACATCTCAGACCACAAGCAGGAAACACACGGGGAATGGCTGAGTCCTTGAATCCTCAAGGGCTGCCTGCAGTCACTGCTACTTCCGACAAAGCCATCCTTCTAAGTTTCCCCAGCAGTACCACCCACTGGGGATCTGGTATTCAAATGTCAGAGACTGTGGGCACATCATTCCAACCACTACAAGGACAAACCTGGAGAGACACGGACATAGGCACACGTCATTGTGCCCACAATGAAGCCAGCCTCCTTCTGGGGGAAGCCTTCAAACCGTTGCTCTTCCCTCGGCGGAACCTCGCCATCCTCTGGGATTTCAGTCAGGCTTAGGGTGCAGGCTGAGAAGATCTCACCGTCAGGCTAGAGGCTAAGTGTGACTGAGGACTGGCTTAGCAGTTACAAGGTAAGAACTGGCAAGATACACGTGTCTATGTTTTCTATTTATACATCTATATAGATGTGTCTATTTTCCCTCTTTTTTGGTGTGATCTTGAGCCCCACATGCAATAGCACAACATTCAACAGGTGTCTACAATGCACGCCTCTCTCTATTTAAGCACTCGAAACACAGCTTCCATCTTACAGCCACCCTACAAAGATGGCTGTAAGGGTGGCCAAGTGCCAGGCAACATTTCTCCATGGATCCCCCACACTTTCACATGTTGTAGGAACAAAGCATCAATTGACTTTTGTTCTGGCCTCCGTCTGCGGAGCGTGTTCACATAGCAATCTGACTTGGTAAAAGGGAGAACATGTCTGCTTCCGGAGCAAAGGCAGCATGCGCGCTATCCATCACGGTAAGATTTAGGATTCTTGAATAGAGAGTTTCTCTTCCAAATAGTGATTCATTGCTCCATCCAACCTGACAGCAAGGGGAACCGGTGCCACTCTGCCACACTTCTGTTGATTGCAATGTGATTACTGTAACAAAGTCTTTAGTCTCTGACCAGGATGGCTGCCTCTTGTCAGCATTCATGACATTGTGACAAGCCACCTGTTTAGATGTCAAGAAGGACAAACGTCAGACCTATCACAGTTCTTGAAACTATCTATAAGAGCTTTGAGTGCAGATTCTGGCTTCTCCCCCTTAGTCCAAGTGCAGTGACAACGGAAGAGGTTAAGTGGCTTGACTAGGAGTCAGGTCGTGGCTGGAGCCTTGAGTTCTCCTTCTGGCCCTCCACTCTTGTTTTCAGACTGTGACCCTTGGCCCAACATGAAGAAAACCCAAAGAGAATACCGTTTGATCAGGATGGTTAGACGTTCTGTCATGCTAAGAGAATGTTTTCTATGGGAACATCAGGACTTGAGCAATGCTGTCTTCAGGCTGATTCATTTATTTGCCCGTATCCTGAAGAGAATGTTGGGCTTTTCTTCCTTGGGGGTGTTGTCATGGAAAATGCAAGTCAATTGATTGCACTGAAGGCATGAGACCGAAGATAAAATAAAAACAACCTCAGCAACCGACAAGCCTTGGGAAGGACGTGTGCTGAGCTGCTCCATTACTCAGAAACCCTTCCTCGTGTTGGCGTCTAAGGGGATAGAATCACAGATAGACAGTGTGAGTTTAAGGGAGATAAAGATAAGACTGTAAAACCAGGAGGTAGATGTGAGAATATAACTCCACCCAGAACGCTGCTTCCTTATAATGTAGCTGGTGAGGACATTTGGTCAGCGGAAGAAGAAGAAAAGCGAGGGAGTGAAGACAGCTGGCTAGCATTAAGCAATCACTAAGACCAAGACAACAGAGGTCAGAACGGATTCTCAGAAACAGAACCCTTGATTTAAAGTCCTGTCAGGGAACTTGGCTTTATTCTGGACACGGCTCCTACTTAAGTCCCAGTCAGTAAAATACATGCATTTGCTTCATTTTAAAGAGTCCCCATGCCAGGAAACATTCCCTGGAAGGACAAAAAAAAATCCTTCTGCAGGACAGTTGGTCGATTGTAACTAGTTCAGAAAGCAGCTTTGCAGTAAAGCCCGAGATGAGCAGGGGGCTACAAAAGGTGGCTCTGCTCTTAAATGGCTTCCAGTTCAATAAGGGGAACAGACATATAAACAAATAATGACAGTAGAGAGAGGTGTGGCTGAGACATTTATGAGCTGCAGCAGTAAGCCTCGGAGAGCATTGCTTCCATCCCAGGGTAGACGAATAGCTTACCTCGTTTTCTTCATGTACTGAGACCTCATCGTCCTTGCCTGGTTGATTCTTTCCATTTGATCAAAAGTGACCTAGTCCTCTGCCTTTAAAATACAGATTTTTTCCTTCATTTTACCTCATGAAGGAAACAATTTAAATGCCACATTAATTTTGGCTACCGGGAGTGACGAAATGACACGGGAATACATGTCTCTTGACATCCTGTGTTAAATTCTTTGGGTTCTATGTCCAAACGTGGGATTGCTGGGTAATATGGTGGTTCTAGTTTGAAATTTTCAGAGAGTTTCCGTGGAACTTTCCATAGTTCCTGCACCATCCCACACTAACTAACAGGGTGCGTGTTTCTAGCTTCTCCATGTCGTTGACAACGTGTTTACTTCGTTTCTCAATAACGGTCATCCTATCAGGTGATAGGCAACATCCTACGGGAGTTTTGATGCCCATCAAGATTCACTATCAGCGATGTTGAATGTGTTTTCCTACATCTGTTAGCCACTCGTAGATCTTCTTTGAAGAAATATCTATTTGAGCCCTTTGCACATTTTAAAGAACAGTTTGTTTTATTTTCTCTTGGTGTTCGGGTATGGGAGTTTCTTACATATTTCATGAATTAACCCTTCATCTGAAGATGGTTGGCACACGTTTTCATCATTCCACAAGTTGCCGTCTCATTAATCATTGTCTTTGCTGTGAAGAAGCCTTTAATCATCCCATTTGTCCAGGTTTTTCTTCTTACCCACGCTTCCGGTGTCATGTGCAAAAACGAGACCAGTGTCAAGAGCTTTCTCCCTGTGTCTTCTTCTAGAAAGTTTGACTTTTAGTCTTATTGCCAGTCTTTCAATCATTTTGAGTCAGTTTTATGTATGATGTAGGGGAGAGGCAATTTACTTTAACTGTTCAGTTTATGTACCTTCTCTATGCCAATACCATTCTGTTTATATCCCTTCAGTGTCTGTGAGAAATTCTGAGATAAAGAGTTGAGTAACTTCCAACTTTGGTCGTGTGGTCATGTGGAGAGTGCATAGGGATTTTAAGATGGGATGAGTTCAAAAGTAGATTGCTTATTTAACACAAGGAAGATCCTTAGTTTGACCCCTAGCAATACACACACACACACACACACACACACAGAGAGAGAGAGAGAGAGAGAGAGAGAGAGAGAGAGAGAGAGCTAACGCCATTGGAATTTTGATAGGGATTACATTAAATCTTTGAATTAATTCAGTACTATTGCTGTCTCAACATTATTAAGTCTTCCAATCCACAAATGAAGGATTTCTACTTATTTGAGTCTTTAATTTCTTCTAGCAGTATTTTGTACTTTCTATTGCATTGTTCTGTTATTTGAAGAATGCCACAGGTATGGAGGTCATCTAGTACATAACTTTTCATAATTAACTTTCAAAATACAGCTAGTTCTTTTGGAGACAGGTGTGCTACTGTTTATATTGCTGAGTAGTCCTTCCTGGAATGAAAGTACCACTTTGTAACTGTTACCTGCTGGAGGTATTTGATTTGCTTCTGTTTGGGGCTCAGATCTAAGCTTTTCCCCACTTTCAAGCCGATAGCTTCCAGGTCTGCAAAATCTAGAGCTACCTGGTGTAAATATCCACCAACTGGGCGTGTGAAACATCTGGCAACATCAGCTGTTTAACACAGACTTCGTTTATGCCCCGCCCCCATGCCCCCCCACTTGAAGTATAAATGATAGTTCTTTGCCTCCATTTGGTGACAATTCTGACAGCAGCTGTTCTGGGTTTGCTTTGATTGACTATGGCAGGAGCGTGCCCTGCGCCAACTCTGCGTGGTTCCCTTGCTGGAAACACCTGCTCATCTCTGATTTCCCATGGATGCCTCTTCTGTATCCCCTCAAAGCTTGGTGGAGCGTCTACTAATGGGCACCTTTCCTTCTGGTCCCTGAAGTCTGTTTCAGGTAAGGAGTACCCCAAATTTCTCACCTCAAGGAATCATTTCCTCTAAAAACCACACGGCTCTCAAATGAGGGCATCAATTCTCTAGGTTTTGTTTTGTTTTTGCCAGGGCTGCTTAAAATCTATTGTGTTTAACTACTTTCTATGCAACACACCGTGGATGACAGCAGATGCTGTCAGAGGAAGCTCCTGAAATATTCAAGACGCTTTTGGGTTTTTATTTCTGCACAGACTTAGTTTGAGAGGCCTGGTGTGCTGTTTTGACATGTGCATGTGCGTGGAACTGCTGAGTCTATCACTGATTGTTTCTTTGTGCTGAGACCATTTAAAATCCCCCCCCCTTTGCTCTTTTTTTCTGCTGCACATTGCAGGCAAAACTATGGGAGATTTGGGTTAAGGTAGAGCTATAAAGAACTAATCCATCAGTATCATACAAAAGTTAGAAATGGCAGGATTTGGTATTGACAGAATAGGGGTGGGTGGGTAAAGGAAGACACAAAAAGACTCCTGAATTTCTGCTTGGTGCATCCATCGAGCCAGAGATTCCTATAGAAGGAACAGATTACTTAGTACGTGGAGACTTAGTGGGAGGACTTGGAGCTCCATTCAGCAGATAGGAGAAAATGTCAGTCCACAGTTGCATATACATTTTCAACCTTTAGAAGAAAGGTCAGGCCAACAGATAAAAATTTAATGTTAAAAATGGTTTCCAGGGCCATGAGAATCATAATTAGGAAGAAGAGAATGATTAGAGTTGTTTACATTAAATCCAAAAGTTAAAGGCCAGTTGGGTGGTGAATCAGAAACAATGCTTTTAGTTATATATAATTTGGGAAACCCAGACTTACTCAAACTACAAAAGGTAATGTAGTAGGAACTGGGGGATGGCTCAGTTGGTAAAGCATTTGCCTTGCAAACATGAGAACCTAGGTTCAATCTGCAGACCCATTTTTTAAAAAAAGCTAGGCATGGTGGCACATACTTAAAATCCCAGTTCTAGGGAGGTAGACTCTGGGACTCAAGAGTCAAGCAGTATAGTCTGCTTGGTTGGTTCCCGGCCAGTGAGAGACCCTGTCTCAAATAAAGATGCCCGAAGAATGGCACTTTATGTGATAGGCTAGCCCAGGGAGAGTGTAGGCTTCAGGGTTGATTAGATTCATAGTTGAACAATGCCATCAATTTCCACATTTCTTTCCACAACTGGGTATTGTTTTTATAAGGGACGAGCTTCCTTTTAGGCTGACTCCCTTATGAAGCTATAAGGTGGCCATCTTTACTCTCTATGATACATAGAACAAAAAAGAATTTGTTTATTATTTCCTCAGAAACTGTTTTATTTTTCCTTAAAAGTTCCAAGAAAAACCTTTCTCTCTCTCTCTCTCTCTCTCTCTCTCTCTCTCTCTCTCTCTTTCCTTTCTTCCTTTCTTTCTTTCTTTCTTTCTTTCTTTCTTTTTTTGTTGGGTAAAATTGGGCCACATACTCATATCTGACCCCAATTTTTTTTCTGACCCCAATTTTGGTATCCTCAGAATGAGGTTATATTGACTGACACCTATGGAGAGAGGAGTCTAGTCCCTCATTGCTCACTGGGTGTGGCAGTGAATCCTGAGGCCTGTAGATTTGAACACCAGTCGAAATGTATCAAAATAAGGTAGCCTGCATTTGGGAGAAACAATTGCAACTGACCTATCAGAACCAAGAAGAAGGATAGATGGAGAGGCTGACAATCAAGAACAAATGAGAAGAGCACCGCATCATCTTCAAGTTCAGAATGGGAGCCATGGTTGAGTAGGAGCTCCTACTGACTGGCCAGGCAAAAGGAGAGAAAGGGAGTGTTAGCTAGGATTGGTGGTTTCGAGGGGCCACAGTGCAGAGCAAAGGGAAATGGGGATGAGACAGGGTGTAAGCATCTTTTTGAGGAAGGAGGATGGGAGGGATGCAATCTGCCATGGAGAAAGCATTTGCTCGAATGCTGGTGTGTTCACTTTGAGTATAGAAATGGGTGTATTTAAGTTATTATTAAAAGAATCTACTACAGAGAGGTCGGCTCTTCATGAGCATGAGAACAGCACACTTGTGCATATATCCCAGTACATACTGTGTTGCTGGACCAGCATCCCTTGGCAAACTGTCTAGGATGACAGGGGGCTCCTTGCTTGTGAGAAGGATTATTAGGCAATGTTGCCTTCTTAGAGATGCCCTGCAGTACTGGTTTTCCTGTTTACACAACTTTCTTCAATAAGAGTCAGTTTCTCTGCAGTGCAGTAAGGTGACTGGAGTTCACCACACTTGGTCACTTATTTTGTAAAGAAACTAAAACTTTAAAGCTTCCCAAATCAAAGAACTAATTTATCATCATCATCATCATCATCATCATCATCATCATCATCATCATTTGTGTGTGTGTGTGTATGTGTGTGTGTATGTGTATGTGTGTGTAGCTGACTGTGGAGGCCAGAATAGGGAGTCAGTGTCAGTTCCTTGGGGCTGGAATCACAGGTATATGTGAGCCACCTGAAGTGGGTAGTGGGATCCTAGTAAGTCTGGTCTACATGACAGAGCAGCAGGCTCACAGTTGATAAGCCATTTCTCCAGCCACAGAAAATGATGCGTATTTAGGAAAGAAATACTAATGTCCCTAAATTTTTCATTACATATTAAATACATATGAATTATCCTATCATAACCTAGGAATATATAAAATGATTATAAGTCAGTTAAACACGGTTCTCAACTGCTCTTGCTATAGTCACAGGAAAGGACAAAGAGTTTGCAGACTTCGGGAAATACCTAAGGAGAGAAATTAAAACGAAGCTTGACATTCAGAAATGAGCTGGACAATGGAAAGAAAGCAGACAATGGCAGAAACCTCCTAGAGGTTGAAAATGGTGACCAAGGAAATGGGTATTTAGGTAGAGAAGGAGAGAGGGATAGGAAGAAATACAAGCCTCTAAATTAATGGATTTTAAAAAACAATCCTCTGTGTGTGTGTGTGTGTGTGTGTGAGAGAGAGAGAGAGAGAGAGAGAGAGAGAGAGAGAGAGAGAGAGGGAGGGGGAAGAGGGAGAGAAAACGTGAGAGAGAGGGGAGAGGATAAGGGAGAGAGAGAGGAAGGGAAAGAGAGAGAGAAGGGGGAGAGGGAGAGAGAGAGAGAATATAGATGAGTGTATGTGTGAGGGGCACACGCATGCCACAGCTTAAGAGCGGAGGTCAGAAGACAGCCTCTGGAACCATTCCCCATTCTCTGAGGCAGAGCATCTTACTCACCGGCCATACACACCAGGCTAGCTGGCAGACAGTTTCTGGGGAATTTCCTGTCTCTGTATCCAGTTTGTCATGTAGGAGTACTGGGACACTGGCACATCCAGCTTTGCGTGGGTTCTGGGAATCTGAATTCAGATCCTTACCCGGCAAGCACCTTACCTTCTGGGCAAGCTCTAGTGTAAATGAGAAAGTCGTGGAAGTAGAACCTTTTCAGCTGTTGACACCATGCTGTGTGAGACTTTTGCAGTGACTGTCTCCAGTGAGGTGGTGGTGGCAAAGGTTGATGGGAGATAGCAAAATTTGAACTCAGAGACCTGATGTCTCTCTGGATATTGAAGTCTCTTGAGATGATGGTAGTAGACAGATGTCAAGGATATGACCAAGGCTGGCACTGAGTAACGGTCATGGAGACGTCACTGGATTAGGCTCCAGAGGTAAGTAAGTCCGTGTCTCGGTCACTATGCCTATAACTCTGGACAAGATGCCAATTGCCTCCAAGGTTTGTTTGCTCATAGGGAATTCCTTAGAAGGAATTGTTGGACTAGGCTCCCCCTGTCCCTCTTCCACCATCTGGTTATAGTAACCCTTTGCAGCCTGAGTCCGCCACACCTCTCCCCCCAATTCTTGGCAGGCCGTCAAGCCACAAATAAGAACACGAAACCAAAACAACAGCTTTGCTGCTGACGAAAATGGGCTGGAGGCTGCGGGCTTAGAGCAGAGTTGGAAAAGCAGCGCCTGTGTCCTGGGCCCGTGTGCTCTGAGCTGTGCTGGCTAGCCTCATCTTGGCAACGCAGATGGATGGGTGCATGGCAGGCCCTCACCCAGAACTCTGGTAGAGAAAGAAAGAGACCACGCATGGGCATTGATTGCGGACACACTGAGCCTTCCCCAAGACAAGTGAGGTCCCCTTTCAAGTTTTAATCATTCTTCCTCTCTGGGACAGCAAATGAAGGCAAGAAAAGCACAAAGTTTCCTTCCAACGTTGTCTATTTAGTGGGAGTGCTGCCTTGTTCTGAGGCAGGGGCTTGGGGAGAAGAAGAAATACCCCTCCCCCCTTTATGACACCCAAGCTGACAACCGAAAGGACACAATCTCATATTTCTGCAGTTGCACATATGTGTGAGACACACGCAGAGTTAACATGGAGAGAAAGTACCCTGCATGATGACAGGGTTCCAAGAGCATTTTCCCGGGGTTTGCCAAATGTTCCATTAGTAACTTGGATTCAAATCAGAATCACCGGGTTTCTAGGCAACATCACCAGAGACAGGAAACAGGCCCCAAGTTACTAAAATAAGTTAAAACAAACAGATCTCTTGCCTCCCTTGCTCTCCGCCCAGTTCAGCTGAGGTGTGGGTCTCCTCGCTAGTGGCCCACGTTCACTGATGTGAACAGCTGCAACAATTATGATAAAAGCCAGGCAGAGAGTTAGTGAGGAAAATGCAGACCTGAGGCA